TAATTCTATTGAACCATTAATTGAATTAAGTCGTAATTCCATAATCTAACCAATTAAAAAAGAATAATAATAGTAAGTAGATTTTGATGAACTCAAAAATCTTGGTACTCAATTCTTGAATAATGATTATGAAAGTGTACCTTAAGCTCCATCTATGACTAATCGTCGTAAACCACCCTAAGGATTCTTTGATAATAAACAAAGACCCCCTCCTCGTGCTTAATCAATACCTGTACAAGAAACAGAAAAATCTAAGTCTCCTTCATTTTCTGTTGATTAAAAGGGGAAAAAGAAATTTCATATTAAAATTGATACTGATACTATAAATGCACTTTATAATTTTGGAGGTGAAAAAGGAAAAAAAAATGGATTGTATTTATAAAAATATTTAAATTAGTGATCATGAAGCTTTTGATAAGGAATTGATAGAAATCAATAGATTAGCTAAAGCATGTCATATGTATATGCAAGGACATCGAGAACCTGAAGAACCATATGTAGAATCACCAAAATAATAAGAGAATGTAGAATCACCAAAATAATAAGAATAAAATGTAGAATCTCCTAAATAATAATAAAATGTTGTTAGATAACCTCCAATGTCAACAAAAAATAGTTAAGCAACAAAATAATAATTTTAATAAGAATGTATTAATATAATGTTATTTTAGTAACTTAAATAAAAGAAGTTTCTTCATCTTCTATGTCTATTTAATAAATTGAACAGACATAAAAGAAAAAGATTTAATCATTTGCTTCTATTTATAATTAACTAATGGGTTGGATGATTGATAAAATAAAAATTGGAGTAAATGAATCTTTAATGATTGAAGAAAGAGATTAAATAAAAAATTAAGGTATTATAAATGCAATAATGAAAATTGTTGCTTTTTCTATTGAAGATAATTTAAAAGCTTAAATATTATAAGATTTACTTTGTCTTTGTAAATCACATTAAGGCAATTCTATACTTATTTTAGGATAGGCAGCATTTTAAAATGAACTTCTTAAAGTATTATCAGTACAAGAAGATTAAAATCTAGTAAGATATTATTCTTATTTAGATATATGAAATTGGCAGTAAATTGCATTCAACACTTATAGTTTAAGTATTAAAATCAGAATTTATTGGTGCTAATTATGTTTATGAATTATTAAAATGGGGGATTGATAACAATTAGAAATTAGTTGAAATGTAAATGAATATCATCATTGATTAACTTCAGTATATTATATTTTAATAATAGTGAGTAATGTAAGACCTTTTAGACAGATTCTCAATTATGGAAAAATATTCTTCAAATGGCATTATATATAATTGAATTGAAGTAGAATTATCCTTAATTGATTATCAAGTTTCATAAATTTTATGATTTAATTCATTAGAATTATATCATTAAAGGCAATATAGAAGGTATTATTAATTTATTAATGATTTAAGAATAAATTACTTTAATATCCAAATGTTTCAATCATCCTGAATTAGCTTAATAAATTTAATGTTATTTAAATACTAAAATCTAGAACCATCAAGTTTATGAAATCATATTAGAAAGCAGTGATTAAACCAATATGCATTAATTATTTATAACTTATGTTATAACCTTAGAGATTTCTTAATGTGAAATAACTTTTGGATTAACTCACTTATTATCAAAATTGAAAAATCATGAGCACTTTAAAGATATGATAAAATTTCTATTTTTAATAATTTTTGTCTCAAAGGATAAGAATTAGACATCTCCATTAAGAAAATATTTGACAGAATTATATTAAGAATTTGAATCTTTATTTGAAAGTCTTTAAGGTAAATACTTTCAAGATGATTAAGTACTGGATTAATTAATTGATTTCCTCAAAAATAACAATACTTTTAAATAAGAAAGTTAAATTAAAGCTAATATACCTTAATAATGGTCAATGGAGTCTATAGTTTCACCTTAAAAGGTTTCAAGAGATGTACAATAAATAGGGGAGAATAAGTATATAGAAATTGAAGAGAGAAAAGTTTAATGGGTTTATAAAGAAAGTGAGAAGGAAAGGATTGGTAGAAATAAATATCATAAATCATTAAATTCCTTGTTTTTAAATGATGGTTGGCTTTCTTAATGTTAAGGATGTATTTAAAGAAATGATTTGAATTAGGATATAGTATAAGAAGAATTTGTTTAAAGTTAGTACTTTAAAATAAAAATATCGAAAATGCTTACTAAATCATTTGCTAGACCTTATATAAAAAGTATTCCTATAATTCCAGATATATTAAAAAATAAACCTGTATATCAGACTCCATAAACTGCTCCAATTCTATTGGGTCATGATATGGATAAATTTGAGTAACTTTATGGATAGAGACAATCTACTAATTCATAGGCTGTTTAAGCAGCAACTTAGTTGTTGAATATGGGCAAAGCATTTGGTAATAATATTAAGAATGCTGTAAAGACTATAGCAAATTAAAAGGTTTAAATAGTAGAGAATATTAAATCATTTGGAGAGAATACATTTAAAGGAAAGAAGGTTAATGTTATAAATGGACTCTATATTTATTATGCGTTGATGAGTTTAACAAATACTCATATTTTATTATAATATGAATAATTGAAGAGTGAAGGATCACATGCAGCTTTAGGAGTTTTTGAATTAAGGGATGATTAGAAATTAATTAAAAAGTATCCTATTTATAATTTGGTTTTAATAATAAAAAAGAAATATTTATAGAAAAGAACTGCTTTGGAGATATTTTTCATTGATGGGTAATTGATATAATGATTATTTAATAGGAAATCATTATTTATTAACATTTGTGATCAAAATGATTTGGATGAAATATCATCTAAATTATTAAAACATCGTAAAAGTAATTAGGCTCCATATTTTAATTAGAGTAAAACTACAGATCCAGTTAAATTATTGGAAAAGTAAGGATACTTTTAGAAATGGAATAAGTATATAATTTATAATAATAAATATAGATAATAAATGAGTAATTTTAAATACTTGTTATTATTAAATAATTTGGCATCAAGAAGTTATAATGATTTAACTTAATATCCTGTATTTCCTTGGGTAATTTGTGAACCAAAAGATGTATAAATAGAATAGGAACCAAGTGTTAAAATATATCCTGAAGGTTAATTTAGAGCAATGTAAAAGACTATGGGTGCATTAGGAAATAATTAAAGAATAAAAAGTTATATAGAAAGATTTGAATAGTCTGAATAAGGTGGTGAAATTCCAGCTTTTCATTATGGATCTCATTATTCTTCATTAGCTATTACTTCTTAATTCCTTATAAGATTGGAACCATTTACAACAATAGCCAAAGAGATTTAAGGAAATAAATTTGATATTCCTGATCGTCTATTTTATTCTTTAGTTGAGAGTTTCCGATGTGCAACAGAAGATATTGCAGATGTAAGAGAATTAATTCCAGAGATGTTTTGTTTACCTGAAATGTTTCTTAATTTGTAGAATCTGTAATTTGGTAAAACACAAAATGGAATAGTGGTTAATAATGTATAATTACCTAAATGGGCTAATAATAATCCATGGAGATTTGTAACAGGTTAAAGATGTGCCTTAGAAAGTGAAGAAATATAAAGGAATCTTCCTGAATGGATTGATTTAATATTTGGATTTAAATAGAGAGGTAAAGAAGCAGAAAAAAATTTAAATATTTACTTTTATGTAACATATGATTAATAACTTACTTTATAAATGATGGAAGAAAATAGATTAAGTATAGAAGCTTAAGTTGTTAATTTTGGAATTACTCCATTATAATTATTCTTAAAACCACATATTGGTAGATAAATCAATACAGACAATCATTTTGTTTCCAATTCATAAGAATTAAAAGTTTATAGACCATAAAATAAAAAGAAAGTACCTAATACTATGAAACCAATTATTGATATATAATAAGCAAGCAATAGAGCAATTGTTATGATTAAATGGATTTCAGATTAAAGATTGATATGTATAAGAAAAGAAGGAAAAATTGATTATCTTAAATGGACTAGTCAAACTGATGTTTAAGCTAATTAACCACCATTTCAATGCGGATTGGAAAGGGAAAAACAATTTAACTTTGAAAAACCTTAGACTGAACTATTTAATATATGGGATGTATCAGCTCAATTATCTTCTTATCCTATGTTAATATTTAATCAAGGGAAATTGTTTATTTGTGGAGGTTATCATCTAGGTAAACTAATTATCATAGGAGATAATAATCAAATTATTGATATCTATTAAATACATACTGCTACTATTACTTAATTAGCTTCTGATAAAAAAGAATCAATGATAATTTCTGGAGATAAAAATGGACATGTCATTTTATGGAATGTTGATAAATAAAAGGATATTTATAAATTATATGCTAAATGTATGTATTTTGATCATTAGAATTAAGTAATTAATATAATTGATTATAATTTAGATTAATTGTATTTATGTTTCTACTAGTATGAAACTATTTGCTACTGGATGCATAGGTGGTTACATTTATTTATATAATTTATATAATGGATAATTGATGAGATCATTCATACATCCAAATAAGAATCCTATTAATTCGATTGTAATGAGCAATAGACCACTTTTTTGTATTATTTTCTATTCAGCATATGATCATTAAATCTATAGTTATTCTATTAATGGATTTTTATTAGAAGTTTAATAAGAACAGAGTTCATCCTTAATTGATTGTTAAATTATGAGAAATAATGTATTCTAAGATATTATGGTAATATTCTATATATATATAATTAGATATATGGCACTGAAAATGGTGAATTGGTTAGAAGATCTTTGCCTTATTTGTAATAATTGAAAAGATTTCAAATATCAGCAAAATCCCCTGTGTTATCAATAACTTGTTCAAAGGATAAAAGATTTTTCATTTGTGGATGTAATGATGGTGAAATTTCAGTAATGGCAGAACCTTAATAAAATAAATGAATTATATAATTATATATATATATTTAATTTTTATGAAAAACGTGAACAAATTTGTAATATTGTCATTACTTCTAATGTTAAACTATGCATTAGAAGATATTGATATGAAATAATAAATTGAATAACTCGATCAACACAGATTTGGTCACACTCTTCTTGATACAATTTACTTATAATTGTAAACTTAAGAACCAATTGAAAGATTAATGGGAACTTTACAATAAATTGAGGATAGATATTATTAAGATTAAAAAGAAGAAGATGTATCACATAAGGAATATTAAGACTCTTGTACTGTGGTATTAATTATTAATATTTCATATAGGATCTATAAAATTTAGATTAAAATATTAAAGTGAGTGATAATGAACGTATTAAGTTGGAAGCAAGATTGGAAGGTGAACTCTATCCAAAGAGAGAAATTTTATAGAAATTAATTAATTAAAAATAAGGGGAGCTTAAAGAATTCAAAGAAGACTTAAATGAATTAGATTTATAAAGAGAAGAAGAAAATGAAGAGTATTAACATAAAATACATGAACATGAAGATGTTATTGCTATATTGATGTAGGCTAGAACACTATTCTCAGAGAATCTATAAACACATGATAATTCATTTATTTAATTGAATAATAATGGTATAGAATTACTATAAAAACATTTTGGAGCATCTATTAAAAGAGCAAGTACTCATTAATTAAAATAATAGGTAAATTTACTTATAGAACTTCTTGGGGTAAAATGTTCAAAGCATTAGCTACTATTACTTCTAGAGTTCATTAATTATAAGATTCAGCATAAGTTGAAAATGTTATCTTACTTATTGATTAATTATTAGAATAAGTTCATGATTCAATGGATCTTGAAAAGTTCTCAGAAGAAAAAAGAATTCAAGCTTATGAAAAGACTAGAAATTTATTAGTAATTTCAATCAATACTACTGAGAGTACTTTGGCATCTGCAATATCTGATTTGGCATTGTATTTTATCTATTATACATACATAGAGTAAATGAAGTGATTGAATAGACTCAAGCTACTCTTGATAATGTAAATTAGAGATTAGAAATGCTTTAATAATCTAGAGATGATCGATTCACTATTTGTGAATAAGAGGCTTAAGATTATTAGGATTCTAGATCATAACGGTAATGATTAAGTTATTAATTGTTAGGGATTCTGATAGAGATGTTGTTTCTTAAACTATTGGATTATTGAATAAATCATTAAGAACATTAAAGGAACAATTAGCATTAAGAATGTCAGCTGGAGAATAATTTGAAGATGTTTGATTTAATTTTATAAACTCAAATTTGACATTCAATTATTAATTATATTAACAATAATAATTACAAAAATTAATTATTTATATATAAGAAATTGCTAGACATTGAAACTTAAAAAAAATATTCATCACATAAATTAATTATTTATTCAAAGAGAAATTTAGTATTATCAATCTAATACAAATGCTAACCAATCTTAATCTGATAATTTGTTTTAAATATTTGATCTGTTTATTGATTTGATCCTAATCTATTTTCTTTGTATTGATCCTCTTGTAGTTAAACATTAATCAACTGAAAATTCTTTTCTTTTTTAGAAAGAGGATTCTGGTCTCTCAGTAATCAAAGCTTTTTTATTTACATGACATATTTTATCAAGAATTTCTTTTGCATGTTTCTAAGTTGGAGTCACATAATGACATTCAAATAAAGGTTTTTTAGCATAAAAATTTTTATGTTTTGAAAATCTTGGTCTATATGAGAATATTGATTCATCATCTAATAAAAGGTTTGATCCATCTATAAATATTTTTTATCCATTTGATTTATGTCTCATTAAATAAAATAGTTATTATAAACTTATTGATATTGATTATTTAATAATATTTATAGATGGATCAAACAATTTTATTACATGTTCAATTTATATATAAACCATTAAGATTGAATATTAGTTATTATAAATTTCTCAATATTAATAATGAGTAATAACAATTATGAGCTATTATTATTTTTGAAATTAATGAAATATTTCAAAACGATATTTAGCTTAGATTTATTTAATAAAAGTAATTGATATATAAATATATTTAAACAATATGATCTCTATTTCCATTTAAAGACATGTGAATTATGGTGAAGTAATTTTGATAGTTGGTGATTGTCATTAAGTATAATGGAATGTATAAAATGGAATTTAGATGGAATGGAATCCAGGAGATATTTGGACAACTAAAATAGAGTGTTGTTGTTTACCAATGAATTATAGATATGTTATTGTCAAATAAAATAATCGATAAATTGTTGAATGGGAAGATGGAATAAGTAGAGTTTTAAATTCCAAAAATGATATAGAAGATGAATGGAGTCATATCAAAATAAGAATTAAATTGAACTCTTATAATGATTCAAAAATGTTTGTAAATTTATATTCAGAAAAGGGAAGATCCAAAATTAGACTAGATTAAGTAGTTACTGACCAAAATGAATATGAGTATAGATTGGAATTAGAAATTCCTAGTAAATCAATTAATTAATATGCATATAAATATTAATAAGATTAAAAATGGGAACGTAATGGAATTAGAGTATTTACTAAACATCCCATTATTAATAATGTTATTGAAATAGTAGATTCTGATGTAGAATTTACTCTCAATTATAATTAAATATTGGAAAATATCTATGTTGGTTCATTTATATATAGCGAGTAAAATATTATATAATAAGTTTTTAGTGAAATTCACATTCTATAGAAATTAGGAGTGAATGCTATTGTTAATTTATAAACTATTGAAGATCTAATTAATAAAGATTTGTAGGAGGATTATTTTGATTATATTAAATAATCTTGTGAATCTTATCAAATAACCTATTCGCATTTTCCTATAAGAGATTGTAATAAACGATCCTTCTTGAAAAAGGGAATGCAGGCTCATTAAATTTTAAAGAAATTAATTGAAGAAGGGAAATGTGTCTATGTGCATTGTACTGATGGCATTTAGAGAAGCATTTAAACTATCATACTTTATTTAGTATTGGATTTAAATTATTCTCTTGAAAATGCTATTAAACTTGTAAAAGAAATAAGAAAAAGATCAAAACCTATTCGAGAAGTATTGTAGTAACTTTTGGATCAGTGAATAATATTTTTGCTATCCGATATTTGTAATTTATTTAATTATTCATATATGTATATTATTTGTTTGTATTAAATCATTTACCATCATATTAGGTGATGTTATGTTTGAAATGTTCTAATTATTCTTCAGCATGATGTCTATCCAATATTTATTGATTCAATTTCTTCTCATCTCCTTCAAGTCCTTTTCCAAATCCCTATTATATGATTAATGCACAAATATTACCAAAACATATTTCGGTGGTTATTTGAAATGACCAAACTAAAATTAAATGTGAATGATACTGTTTCATGTAAGACACCTGGGTCCATATATGCACAAAAGAATCCAATTGCACAAGTGATATACAACATTGTTCTTCCAAATCTATAATCTACAGGAGATACCCATCCAAGATGAGTTTAATTATGTCCTTATTAAGCTACAATTATCAATTCTTAATTTACCTGTTAGATTTTAGTACTTATTTTTATTAAATAGTAGTTTGAAATTCCTATTGAAAATGCTAGCTTTTTGCATAAAAATAAAATTATATATAATTTATAATAAGGGAAAGATTGAAATATAATTAGAATAATATAAAAGTCACTTTCATTTATTTTCTAATTGAAAAGAATCATCATCCATTTATGGTTCATCTTCATCTAATTATTTATTTATTTAAGGTAGTTAAGTAAGTTTATGTTAAGTTGATGGAGCACCTACATTAATTGAATTATACCTTTTTAAATATAATCAGATTAGATAAAATTGATTAATAATTTGCCAATTTATAAACTACAAGCTGCACAATCAATCGAAATTTTTTTATCTATTGATACCAAAGTTCCAAATTTACTTTTATTGTCCTAGATTACAAAGTTACCATCAGTTAATTTGATAGTAGCATGGTGTCTAGAGACAGTAATGTCTTAGGCTTTGATATCACATTGAAATCCTCTTCCCTTTTAATATAATGAAATTAATTACAATTTTTATATTATCATTTAAAAGACTATGGATTAAATAGATTTCATTGCATAAATTCTTCTCTTTATTGATATTCTAATGATAGAATTTTGATTGTACTTCAACAAGAATGTATTATAAATCAGGTCTGTCAAGTGTAAAAAGATCGAAGTATTCATCTTCATACTGAACTCGAATTGGGAGACTTTCTTTACAAATAGAACATTCATGTTGCTTATTCCTAATATGAAAAATTATGTAACCATTTAAGTGTTAATCCAAATTGAGTTTCTTCTTTGATAATATTGGAATCTACCCAGTAACGTAAACAGTCCAAATGAACAGCCTAGCCATTACCAGCACAACGACAAATATTAGTAAGAAAGAGTTAGTCCTTGCTTTGTTTTCCTTCCATGAAACAAAACTTACATTAATATGTCAGATTGTTATTGTTGAGGAAGGAGTACTAAAATTTGATTGTCTAATTTTTATACTTTGAGAGAACAGGGTGCTTGAAATGTCTGCATATGCTTGTTACGTTCTTCTATGACCTTGTACTCACTTTAAATTAATAGTGTATAATTAATACACTCTTCCTAATCGAATGATGGAATTAACTACGAGAGGATATTCAGATCCATTGGATGATTTTATGTCCTTAACAACCATGAAAGGTGGCTACATTACAGACAAAAGGATTTCATAATGATTTTCTAAAAATGATGATATATAGATTTGTCTTACTTTATTTACTCACTTTCAAGAGCAAATTCTTATTCGGCAACATCTCAGTGCTCTCGGTATACACTTAATCTGTAAAATGCATTTCATTATTACTCTCCTCATATATTGTAGTTGAACCTCCTCTAAATTTCCATACTGGGAACGTGTCTGTCTATTCATGATCTATTAGACCCATCCCTTATTTCTAATCTTATTTGATTTGCACTTCTAAGTTGCTTTTATAGGCTGGCATAATTATAATCATCTTGTTAATTAATAAAAATCGTTAATGAGCAAGGTGTTCTCTCCAGATTAACGCAATCTAGGAGGTAGGCGAATTATATTGCAATAGATGCTATAGCATCTTCATCATGTAGAGACTGCCAAAAGCACTCTCTCTCAAACTAATTCAAGCAGTAAATTACTTCGTCGAACTCCATCACCAGTTTTCAAATTTCTAGATTAATACAAGGAAGTCCTTAATACATTTGATAAGGTATAAAAAATACAATAAAAACGACCATCCGTTGAGAAATTCAAAAATAACTACTTTCTCAAAAAAGTCTAAACAACCAATACCGAACATCAAAAGAATTTTGAAAAATGTAAAAAGAGAATCCAAGAAATGAACAACAAGAATAAGACCACTATGAATCCAGCCCTATTCTTTAGAAGAGTGGATAAGAGTCTAATCAATAAGACTTGTCCAATAAGTAATTAACTTCAATTTAATAAGTGCAGCCACGGCCACAAAAAAAAGAAATACAATAAGATATTGATTGGGAAAGCATTGCTAAAAAAATACCATAATTAACAGATCCTCTTTTTAAGAATAAAATAACTGACTTGATCGTTTCTAATAGGATCTATAGTGATGATGATTATGCATTCCTTGTATGCCTTATTTCAAGTGTGAATAATGCTGAATAATCCAAAATCATACTAATAATGAGCTAAATATTGAATGAATTGGGATTGTTGTGATTTTGTTTATTATTATTACTTTTTTGTGATGATTTTTATAAAAATATTATAAATAATATATAAGAAGAAGTATAAAATAATATAATATATAATTTATATATATATAAATTCAATATGTCATAAACAGAAGAAACCTTAAAAAAATATCCAAAATATATGCCAACTTTAGTGAGATATGAAGAGCCAATTGAAATAAATGAAGATGAAATGTAACTTGAAATGCAAGAACAAGTCTTAAATTAAAAAAAAAAATAATAACTGTAACCTTTAGATCAAAAATGGTCTATAGATGAAATTTTAAATAAATTCTTTCCTCCTAGAAGATTTGAACATGAAGGACATTACTTTAAATAAGTTGTTAGTGTTAATGATGTAAAAAGAGATGAATTAAATTAATTGGAAGCAGAATTAGATTAAAGATTAATTGAGAGATAGGCTCGGTAGAATTTAATTGCAAATATTATAGTAAGAGTGGTATATGTCCAGTAAGAGAAGATTTACATAGTTAATTATTTGAAGAGATCATTAGATAAAGTGCTATCAATTGTCCAGAAAGAGGATTGTTATTAATGAGAGTATATGATAATTTGAAATTAACATTTGCAGCATATTAAACATTATATGCTGGATCTGTTGTATTTGGTAATAGAAAAGCAGCAGAATCTGAAATTGGAAAAAGTGAATAGGATTCTAAAATTGCAGATTATGACAAAAAGAAAATTTATTTAGAAAATCAAAAAATATTATTGGAGAATGAACTAGATGCTATATAGAGAAGTTTTAAGGAAATCAGAGAATTAGAAGAGAAAAGAATGGAATCTGAGATGCAATTTTTAAAATAATAAACAAAGCATTTAGAACATTTTCTGAAATAAGTGCAATAGAATTAATAATGATTTATTTAGAATATTAATATGGATACAATTTATATGTCATTAATTTATATAAGTTTAAAGTATTCTCTTTACTTGATGAAATGAAATTGTCTTACTAGTTTATTGATACATTTTAAATTAAGGGGATTGAACATTCAATCTTTATTATACCTTCTTATTAGTTCTAGTTATTCTTTCCTAAATGACAGGATATGATTCATAAATCAATTCAACTTAATCTTTACCATGATGAGACAATTCTATTTTCGATAATACAGTCATCTATTCAGTTTGAAATCTCTTCTTCAAGTTTGTATTCCTTCTTGTTTAACATTATTTACGAGTGCTTTCTAAAGACATGTTCTCCTATTATAAGCTTCTCAAACGAAATTATGCACCCATCTGATAAGTCTTTCTAAATTATGCTTATTAATTCATTTTAATATGTTAATATTGATCTTATTATTTTAGTTGACGCTATCATAGCCTTATGAATAAGAGATTATTGAATTATAGATGGAGAAAAAATATGAATTTTATGGGTATTGATGTTTAATATATAAATATTAGTAAAGTCCCAGGTACATCAACTTCTGTTCTTTATCCTGTTCACTTTTATAAGTTCTTTGTTTAGAATGTGATACCAAATGAAGAAATTTTTGTAGTGTTAAAAGCTCTACATGATCAAAGTTCATTCCCCTCTCTTTACATTAGTAAGGAGAATTAATAGTATTGTATTTGTATTTAATTAGTCCAACAATTTATGATGAATTATGTGGTAATAAAGGTATGGATGTTTGTGTCTTAGAAGAAAATAAGCTTATTGCTAATACAACTTATTATTTAGGAGTATATTGTTTATAGGATTGTGATTACGAATTAACTATTCATTATGAAGAGGAAGAAATCTTATAATTAGGATAAGCAGTGATAGTGAAATTTGATAATGAAACAGAAAGTATCCTAAAAATTGGTATGCCAAGTACAATGGATGGAGTTGATAGAATCCTAATCCGAGCTCATCATATCTACGAAAAGAATACTATATTGAATGAGTCATTTCATTTTTATATTAATGAAGGGAATGAAATTCCATCACCTAGTTAATTTTAATATGAAGCAGAAGAGATTTGGATGGTAGGAAAAGGAGTAGTGATATATAAAAATAGTACAAATCTTAAAGGGAATTTGACTTTGTTAATGTTAGGTATACCAAATACTAGATTATATTTTATATCAACAGTTTATGAAAGAATTAGAGAGATTGATTTATTTGAAAAGACAGATGATTTAGTAATTGAGAAGAAAACAAATTATTATAAACTAATAATAAATAATGATTATTTGGAATTTTTGGATGAAAATTCATTATCTTTTGATATTCATCCATTTGAAGGTAATCCTGATGTTTATATATCACCATGTCATTAAGGTGAATGTTCATTGGATTATAAACATTATCCATGGCAATCATAATTAGATTTTGGTTATGAATCTATAACAATATCTCGAGGAGATAGAATAATAAATGGAAATGAAACTTAATATATAATAGCAATTAATGGAGTAGATGAATTTGCAAGTTATTCATTTGTAGCTTATTTAAGTAATTACTATAGTAGAACATTATCTATTTATGCTTTTGAATCTGGATTTTTAATAAAGAATGAATTTGCAGAATATATTGTTGGAATATATGATCAACCAAATTAAACATTTACAATAACTGCAAATTATCCTACAGGACATGGTATGATTATATTAAAAAAATGTGTAAAAGATAAAAATGAATTAAGTTAGGTTTCAAATTCATTAACTTATATTATAAGTGCAGGACCAGATAATTATTATAATTGTTCAATTACAAAAGATTAAATAGAATAATTATAAAATGTAAACTAATTAAAATCAGGAAGTTCAGAATTGTATTCAGCTGAAAATACATTATAATTCAATTATAATAAGTTTGAATGTGAGAGTAATGTCACAATGCTAAAATATGAAAATATATAAACTAATTGTTAATATGTAGTTGGTATATATAGTAATGTTGACTATATGAATTATCAAATATTTATTAAGGGATAAGAATAGCATATTGAATTAACAGAATCAACAACTCATCGTAGTTATTTGATGGAATATGATACAGATTTATATTCATTCACAATTGATGATGATGAAGAATTAATTGAAGTAGTATTCTAAATAACAGCTATTACTGGTGAATATGAAGCTTATGCTTCCAGATCATGTGATAAACCTAATTCAACATTCTATGATAGATATGCTAATATGGAATTAGATGTCTTATAATATAAAGCAGAGACTGAAACTTAAGGTTTATTTGGTTAGTATTATATTAGAATAGTGGCCAAGGCATTACTCAGATATACAATTACTCCTATAATTTATAGAAAATCACATGAAGAAATTAATTACATTCATCTTATTGAAAGTATTCCTTATAATCATTTACAAACAAAAATTGATTAAGTTACTTATTTTAATTTTGAATATAGATAGAATGGTCCTTTGTTTATACATTTAAATGGAATTTATGGTTATTTTATATGTTATATTATTGGTACAAATGGTATTATTGGTAATAAATATCCTAATGAAAGTCAATATGATTTTTCACTTAGAAGTTCATAACATACACTCATAATAGAGAATCCAAAATAATATTATTATGTTTAAGTCAGTTCTACTTCTCTTGGTCTTAATGAATCTTATGAAATTCAATTCACTTCTTCAAGTTCATTAATGGAATTATTTTATGGAGAACCACTCATTACTTAATTGGATAATTTACATTAAGCTTTTTATTATTATTAATCACCTTATGCATTAGAGAAATTATTCATAATTAGAACATATACAACTGAAATAAATGAATAGAATAATCTCAAAATTTATGTTAGTATGAAATATAAATTTCCAAATAAAGATAATTGTGAATTAGAATTATTAGATTCATCAATTTATTTGACTTTATAAAATATAAAAGAGAGTACAATTGTATATATTGGTGTAGAGAGTATAGGATATAATGAATATTCATTGTTGATCAGAGGTGTATCTGGTATTACAGAATTATTGGATAATACTGTTTAATAGGTACCAGTTCCTTCATTTGAATAATATTAATAATCTGATTTATATTTTGTTGTACCAAAAGATCTTAAAAATACTATTTAAATATAAGCATATACTTAATTTGCTGAAATTGAATTATTTTGTTCAATAAAAGATTATGCTATGGTATCAAAAGATTTAAAAAACAATAATCATCATATATTTCCTAATTCTTCTAATTATGATATTGAAGAAGAGATAAGTGCTAGTATTTCAAATAAATTATTGATCATTAATTAAGAATAATTAAAAAATTGTTAAAATTATAAATAAGGTTGTGTATTATTGATAAGTGTAAAATTAGATTTATAATCATTATATTCATATATCTTTGGTAATACCTATAATAATATATCAACAGTAGATGGTGAAGATGGTTATTTCAATATAATGATATCAACATAATATTCAATAATAAGAAATGGAGAAATGTTAATAGGACATTCTGGAGAGAATCTAATGTCATATTATTATTTTTATGTAGACAATCCAGTTGAATTCATATAAATTGCAGCTAGACCTATTGATGATTGTGATCCAGATATTTATGTAAATAGACTAATTGATGATAATATCACATATCCAACTGAAGATTCAAATACTTATAAATCTTTATCATATAAATCAGACATTCTTATAATAAGAGAATCTAATAATGTTGGATCTTATATAATAGGAGTTTCTGGATTTAGAAAGTAATGCACATATGAATTACTATTAAATTTTGCAGATATAGAATTGTATTATATATCAAATGGACAATTTACAAGTCATCATATAAATTAGACAGTTTATTATTTCTATTAACATATACGAAAAGAATCTTTCCGTATAATGATTCAAGGAATTAATAATATAGATGTAGCCATTAATACCTACTCTTAATATAATGATAGTGATGATGGTCTTTTTGATCTTCTACCTTATTATGGAACAGATTAAATTTAAATACTTTAAGAACATAATGATAATCTTTTTGGTGGAATCATTTAGATTAATTAATCAAATTAACATTTTTGTTATTATTGTACATATATAATTGCATTAAGACCATTAAAAAGTGCTGATATATAATTATTAATTGCATATAATTCAATACCATTGGATATTGAGTATGGTAGGATATATTATGATTAATGTCTTTAGAGTTGTAAATATTATGTTGAACCAGGAGATTTAAATATATTTGTATATTCATAAAATATAGAATTAAATTTTTATGATAATGATGAAACTTTTATGTTCAGTATGAATCTTAGTAATTCTTAACATATTATACCAATTAATTCATCATATACACTTAGTATTGTTAATCCTAATTAAAATTAAGTGGCTTCTTATTGGTTGAGTTTATAGAGTGAATAAAACTTTATCACTTTGCATTTAGGTAAATCATATAAAGGTAATAATACTGGTGAATAGAATGTTACATCATTTACATTCACTCCAATTACAACAGTATAATGGTATACTATAATTGTTAATTGTAAATCTAATGTTAAAGTGGAACTCTTTTATATGTCCAAGAATATTACAGAATTTATATTAATTAATCCTATATAAGAATGGAGTATTAGTAAATCTTAATTAGAATTGAAATATTAATTGCCTAATATAAATTACTTTTATAAAATTACCTTATCATGTCAAGGTCAATTTAGTATCACTATAAATTTGGAAGGTTTAAAATATATTGATTCTAATTAACATTATATAGAATAAATTCAATCTACTTAAATTTACAATATATATGGTACAAAAGGATAAGAATTAATGATTGAAAAAATTGATTGTTTAGGTTAAACTGAAAGCAATATTAGTTCTTATCAATTTAGAAATTCAAGTGATATCTATTTTAATGTAACTCCAACCTCTTTTGCTAGTTATACAAAAAATGGATTAT